CTCGCTAGAAATCACCAATAAATTAAAATTCCATACCCATTCCTATGATGAGAGTGATATCTGCAACATATGTTGTATACATGGGTTTAAGGATAAGTTTTGCTTTTAATAATTACTTATATCTTGATTTAGTCATAAAAATCAAGACGAGTATAAAGAGATACTCACAATAAGAATCACCTATATGAGTGTCGAGCTGGGGCCAGTTCTATGAGAATGAAGAGATTAAATTCTCTAGAAGCATTCATGAAAACGAGGAGCGTTCAAGGCCAAAATGAACACAACCGTGAGAACCACGATGTGCCAGAAGATATTTTGTGTGAAATCTATTGTTTTGGCTTACACAAACGGCTGAACAATTCAAGACATCGCGTCCATTAGTTAGTTAGTAAGTCCGATAGGTTATCACTAGGGAAGGTTTAAGGCCGAAAGCTACCTATCCTGATGCAAGATATTTTCGATTTATACTCTTTCGACAAATTCTGCATATTATTGCATTTCCGTTGTCATCAAATTCCATTCATGTGGAGGATTGTTAGAAATGGTTTTGGAAATTCTGGAAAAATAGAATTTTTCCTAAACTTTGGTTTAATATTTAGGTGGGACTCATGCGCCAAAGTTGGCGGGTCTAAGTGGTAACGCGTTCTATGCCGCGTTGTGATTCACGTGGTATATTTGGTTGCTCGAAACCATTATCGGGTGAATGGAAAATTGACCAAAGTATGCTCTATGGAAATAGAGTTTTGGTAAAAAAATCCTTAAAGGTTTGAATAAAGGCTTGTCCCACATTGGTTTGGTGGGAAGAAATTTATGGGTTTATAAAGTTTGGAATTATAACTTGGGGAGGGCCCCAAGGGGCATCCCAAATTTGTAGAAGGGAGAGGTTATGGGCAAATTTGGCTAGACCTATTGGACCCAAAAATAACCACACACGCGAGCCACCGCCGCCGTCCGTCCGAGCTGGGCTGGGCGTGGGTGCGTGGTGTGAGGTTGTATTGGGCTTACTCGACCCAATGCCTATCTTTTTGGGCAAAAAACATTTGAATTTATTTTTTAATTTTTGGAAAATAAATTTTGACCGTTTGAATTCAAATTTTGGTCCGAAAATTTGCACCCTTCTGTTTGAAATTTGTCTGTTTCGTTTGTACAGATTGAAATCTGTCTGTTACAGTTCAAAAAACCGTTACCTGTTTAATTTAAAATTCAAACAGATTTGTATCTGTTTAATTTAAACTAAACAGGTACCATACCTGTTGGATTCAAAACTAAGAGGCACCATTGCACCTATAAATAGATTAGTCCTCACTTGTATTCTCCATTGAATTTTCGTCCAAAAATAATATTGCATTACTCTCTACATTTTGTTGCATTATTTTTGCTTGTGAAAAAGAGTGTATACACTTAGTGTGTTCGTTGTGTGAATACATTGTAGTGCTGCATTTATTTGTTGTTGATCATTTTATACTGGGAGATAAACATCCACAATCTAAAAGCACCGTGGAAAGGACGAATCTGTTTTAAGGACATAGTGTTTAACATTGGACTTGATCAGAATATTGCTCAAGAAATTAATCAAGTAAGTTGTTAATTTATTTTTTCTAATTTATTATTTTTTAAATCAGATTTTGATTTTGTTTTTATAACAAAATAAAAATCTATTTGTATTTGTTTTATTTTATTTTTCTAGTTTGATTTTTGTAATCAAACAAATTCTCTTCTTTTCTTTTCTTTCTTCTATACTCTGTTTGTTGTTAAGTACACAAACATAATTCAATTTTTTTTTCAAATACAATGAAGATTATCCAACATCTGGCATAATAGAGATATTTATATTTATTTTCTGTCTAGAAGATTTCTATTATATGTGTAAAAGACATTTTGTTGAGCAGTGATCTATAAAAGTTTGTCACATGTAAAGTGGATTTCGTGCCTAATGCCTTTGTTTATTTTAAGTGTCCTAGCCATGTGGAATTGTGAGTCATAGAGAGAATAATTGATGCAAAAGAATTAACTGATCCAACCCAAGGGGTCCCCTAGGTCATCAAAGACGAGCAATGGTCAGCAAAGTAGGGAATGCCTATTAAGTTAGGTTCCCTAACCACATTATCAATACATTATTAGTAGGACCTTGGTCCGTTCAGACTTTATACTTGGCCCAAGGGTTATGAGGTGATTGCGCTAAACTCAAATAGCATTTTCGCACTTGACAATCTCGACAACTTTTTGTTTTTGGGTTATGAGGAATCTTTTTAAGATGGACTAAATACGAAATTACTCACAATCCTTGTGTATTGAGAAAAACACACAACATTTCACTCCCAAAAGTGAAATCGATAACTTATCACTATACCAAACTATGCTCCAAAAAGAAAATAAAGAAAAACGTAAGTATATATATTTTAGCATTTGGGCTTTATGACCAAGACCTTATTAATTGGGTCTAGAAGGACAACCTTATATCAAAGACATTCAAATAATTTTTTTTAATCGGCAAAAGTCAATTGTTAGATTTATAAATTAGCATTTATGAGAGCAGTAATGCTAGGTATCATGAAAGTTTTGTGACCCTTGGATTACACTTAAAATAAAGTACCACACACTAATCAAGGTAATCCAAAGATCATAAATATTTCATGATCATTTTCATGAAAAAGTTTTCATGATCCCTAACTTTTCTCTTATGAGAGTTAGTTTCTCCACCTTTGTAAAGCACTAAATACTTACCTTCTAATTTAACTTTTTCTTAAAAAGAGTTAAACTCATTACAAACCAATAATATGTCGTCTTCCTCATAGCATTAAGGTGAATGCAAGTGTAAACTCTACTCCCAAAATTCATGATACAACATTGACAATGGTGAGACTTCAATGAGGTGATTTCATGATGGCTAGAATTTGACAATCGAGAGATGACTATGGCGAAAAAAGAGATACACCAACAACACCAATTGGAACGATAATGATCGAACTGAGTCACCACCTTTTTTTATTCTATATTTCATAATTACGAAATCTATTCATTATATTCAATGTTCTGTAACTCATAAACCTATATTTTAGTATTGTTTGAAGAGGGTTGTGGCGTTTATGTTTGAAAAAAACCACACTATGTTCAATTATTGTGATGACTTTAAAAGGCATAGATCATTCTGTTAAATAAATATTAGATCTTAGTAGGTACATAGTTAGATTTAACTGTTCGTTTAATTGATCACTTTAATGACCTTTTTGTGCAATTATAATTGTCGATATCATTAAAAAGATAGAGATATTTTTTTTGTTAAACCCATGTCGGCACTCACTTTAATCATGATTTTCAAGTTAAAATTGCTCATTATAATTCTCAAAGTAAAATGTAGTATTTTATTTTATTTTATTTTTTTGATAACTGAATGCCCGGACTAATTTATGCACCCCTTGACTAATTTTGAGATCTTAAAGTTAATGACCTTGCAAACCTCAAATGGCCCCAAGATTTGGATTGTTTGGCCCTTGTGAGATTCAACCTTTGACCTCTAGTTATGTGTAATAATATTGATCAATAGTATTTAAAAAATTTATTAAAAAGGTATTAAGAAAAAGTTATACATATCTGTGTTTCAAATTATAATTTTTACAATGAAAAATTCTTATTTAATTCCATATTGAAGTCTAGCGTTATGAAATTATTAAGTTGTTTGGGATGGTTGTTGTGCTTGTAGCACAGCCCGGTAAGGCTCACTTTGATAATTCGAATTATTCACTTTTTATATCTAAAAAAAATGGTAATTATTAATTAAATATAAAACTGAATACGAATCTAATTCATATAAAATATTACTTGATTTTTTACAAGTATATTTAGGTAATATAATCTAAAAAATAAATTGGATTGGAACCCAATTGTGATTGATGTGCTTCGCATAAAATAGCCACCCCAATTCCGCAATTATATTGGCGAATGAAATTAAAAATAGAATTTGAAAGACAATAAAACACTGAAAAATCTAATTATCCCAAACAATTATATTAACTATTTACGCTAACCTTCAAAATTTATTTATTTTTTAATATTTTTAACGATGAAGTGACCCAGGAGAAAAAAAAGGCCAGTACTGTGAAAAAGAAGCAGCACCATGACCAGCCTTAGTCCATTAGATGCCACTTCAATCCTGGGGCATTATGCTCCAACAACTTTAACAGCCTAAACCACTATTTTAGTCTTTCTATATTGTGAGTGTTTAGAAAGTGAGTTTTTTTTTTAAATTTTTTTAGATGTACGATATTATTTGAGAAACTTTTTTTTTTGTGTTTGGGAAGATAATTGGGTTCTTTTATGTCATGATGATAAATTGTCATATTTTGCCAGTAACAAGTGCCTAAATCCTACCTATAAGTCATAAACACAAAGAAGTTTTGCAAAAAATGCCATGTTTAGAACGTAGACAACATTGCATTCATCTTAATAGAACGTGAGTTCATTCAGAATGAATGCAATGCTACTAGCACAACGTTCTGAAAACTTTAGAAAAACTTATCTATTTGTATAGTTGTATCAAATCAAGCCAAACTAAGACTCGTGTTCCAATCATGAGGGATCAACTACATTAATTTTTTTTTCATCATTCGGCTTTATAAAGGGTTATGCTCAAGTACGGTAAACAGTGGGTCTGTATTGATTTCCGAGTCCTAATTGACAATCCAAGTGCCTAATCCTGTCCTATGCAGAAAAAGACACAATTTAGCTAGATGCATGATCAAAGTGCAAACCAATAGCAATAATTTAGCGTTCATGTGTTTTAAAATACATAAATTTATATTATCAATTGTGTAATTGGATAACAAGGGGACCAAGGTGGCTAGAAGACAAGTAAAAATGCAGGTGGTCTCTTCATCTGTCAACATCTTCATTGTAAACAATGCAGGTAGACAATAGATTGATGGATACTACTACTAGTCACATGCCCTCCTGTAGTTACCTTCCCATGTGCAGCCTCTCACACTTCCACAGAAAATATCTTCTTTATGCTCTATTCATTTGCATCTGATTTCAAATAATTAAATTTACATTATTGTACAAGATATTTGCTGAGCATCAATATCAGAAACTCATATCAAAAGTGTTTTATTTGGATCTACATTGATGGTTACAAGCTAAGCATAAAGTTGTTCTCAAAATCTCATGGAAAGAGAAGTAACATATATAAGATTGATAAACGAGGTTTTGAGAACCATGGAAAACTCTAATGTAGATTTACAAAGAACAAAAACAGAACTACATTGAAGAATGATTCAAGAATGCCAGATTCCACTTAACATACTGCTGAATCTATTTGACGACAACCTTCTAACAATCTTTTTAGCATCCGAAACCTCGGCATTTGCAAGTTTTTCTATGTTTTTCAGATACCCAGAATGTACAATTTTCTTTCTTGCACTGTGACAACTTGTTAGTGACATCAATACAGATAACAAGAGCTTTCTAGTACCCGAATTTCCCTCTTCTGGGTCAAGCAATTGAAGAAGAAAGCCAAGATTTTGTTCATTCTGCACAAAACGTTTTCGATTTCTGGGGACTGAAACCATGCTGGAGAGTGCCTCAGCCGCCATTTCGCGAACTTCAAACGACTTTGCATCAAGCAATTTAACAAGTTCTGGCATAAACCCTGCATCACCCATTGCTTTCTTGGCCTCCTCTGACACCCCACATAGGGTGAAGGTTGCCTTCAATGCCAATTCTTGAATTGAAGCCTCACCATTTCTAAGAAAGTACAGTATATGATCCAAAAACCCATAATTCATCAAGATATTCAAGGTACTTATTGATGAGAGACACAAATTCACAATTGCCCTTATGGCCATTTCTCGAGATTTCAACGAAAATGATGATTTGGGATCTAAAACGCGTACTAGCACACAAATCCCTCCTTCTTGAACAATCATTTGCTTAATTTTATCATCCCCAAACGCCATAGTTTGAAGAAATTCAATTGAATTTATCTGTGAAACTTCATCTCTAGACTTCAAAAGCTTAATGAAAGCCGAAATCGCGCCTTCTTCAACCATAAACCTCTTGATCTCTTCAACCCCAACAAGATTCTTCAAAACCCCACATGCCAAACCAACCAATTCACCACCACAATCACCATTACTACATATCTTCAGCAGAGCAGTCACTCCACCATGAGCTGAAACAGACCAAGCATTGTCTGAATTCTCAGTAAATTTCATCAGACACCTTGCAGACCTTTCTTTACCCATTTCACTTCCACCCTCTAATACCCGAATCAACGGTGCGATAACACCGGCACGGATTAAAACACTCTTGTATGAATCAAAACCTGCAATCACTGACACTGCCTTGGCAGCCTCTTCTTGAAGCTCAATTTCTTGAGAATCAAGAAAATTCACCAACAACCCAATTAAGCTACCAATCTCCACAGAAATCTTGATATATTTCTCATCTTCATAAATAACTTCATTGAACCCAATTAGAGCTTGTTTCTTCAACTCTGTGCCTCCAATCTTCATCCTCGACAACAAATCCTTCACATAGAACTTCATATCGTCGCGAGAGGCTCCGAGGCCAGGTCTGGAAACAACAATCGCATAGCTATCTTTGACCAAACCGGAATTGTAAATCTCTGATAGATTCTTGGTATGAGAATCGAATTTGGTACAAATTATATCCAAATCACTCTGCATTAAGAGCTTCCCACTATACGAAAAGTCGAGACATCGACGAGAAAGGTCATAGCATTCATTGATAGTGTCTAGTATAGCCGGAATTGCGGCGGAGAGAGATGGGTTTTGGCCGGAATCGCAGGTTTCGAGGGAGGTGAGGCTGGAGAGGAGGTCTTCGAGCTTGTTCCGAATCGATTGCCATTTGACAGAGAAGACTCTGATTGAGTGAGAGAGAGAGATTAGAGAAGCTATGAGTTGAATGGCTTGTAAGAGAGTGGGTTTTGCGGAGGATGATGATTCGGGAGAGTTTTGATTTTGATTTTGATTTTGGTTTGATTGGTTGTGAGTTTTGTCTTGTTCAACCATGTACATGTTGTTGAATTTGATTAGATTGAAGCAAAAGCATTTTCCGGGGAGGTGGGTTTGTAGATTCCGGTGGAGAGTGGTCGGAGTTTTGAGGAGGAGAGGAGAGGAGAGGAGTTGAGTTTGTTGGGCGTCTTGTGATGCCATCATCTTGGTCAGTACTTATTTGGCGGGTTTCGGTTGAATTAACGGGAATACCCTTTTGGGGCTGCGTCACTGACAGCTTTATGGTGCGGTAGGTTTGTGTTTGTAGAGTAATTTTTGAGATAAGAAGTATGAAAATTTGTTTGGTTTATTTTTTTTCAGAAATGAATTTGAAAAATTATTTTGAAAAGAAAATTTTAAAAAAAGTGATTGATTTGATGTATATGAAAAAGAGTAGTTTTGAAAAACAAGGAACCAAACAAAATTTTAATTTTTTTTTAAAAAATTTATTTAGTTTAAATACTCTTAAAAATTTATTTATAAAGAATTTTTTTCAAATTTTTTTTTAAAAAACAAACCAAACAGACGTGAATGTCTGGCCACTCACACAAGTGGGGATCGTTAAGGAAGATGATATCACGGCAAATAATTTGTCAAATTTGTCACTACATTTCTTGTATGGGAATCAAGATTTTCTCCTTCGTTTTTTTTCTTTAATTTTTTATTTGTTATGTTATTGGATTTATTTTTTAGTTCAATTTTAATAATTCGAACAGTTTATATTTTACGATTTGTTGAGTATGTTATACTTATAAAAAATCAAGTTGATCGGATATTAAAAGCATGTGTTTAGAAAATTATTCATTAATTTTTTTAAAAAAAATAGTTTGAATTCGATGATCTAAATACGTAATTTTTAATATCTGATTAATTTAATTTTTCACAAATATAATATATTTGATAAATCTTAAAATATGAACAAATTAATTTATCGAAATTTGATTTAAAAATAATAACAATGCTCCCTACACCCAGTGGGGGTGGCGCCCCCAGTGACGTGGCACGCCTCCACTGGTCGAAAATCCAAAAAAAAAAAAAAAATCAAAAAAAAAAAAAAAACTGTTTTTTTCTTCCAACCCCCGGGTGACACCTCACTGGGTGTCACCCCCAGCTGGGGGTAGGAAGCTTTTTTCTAAAAATAAATTTAATAACCTAACAAGTAAGAAGTTAAAAGGAGAGGGATGGAGGATAATATCTTGATTCTCTTGTATAGTTGCATGAGTAGGAGTGAAATAATGGGTAAAATAATATTGTCCTCAAGTCGAGAGGTGCGGCAACTTGATAAGACAGAAGTATAAATCTTGAGATTCCAACTTCGATTCTTTTTGGGATTAATCATTTGGGTGATAGTACATATTGTTAGTAAGATGGATTTTTTATGTTTGGGCGAATTGTATAAATGATTGATAACTCAAGGGTTATGGCATCGTGATAAGGTTTTGAAATTTAAGTCTCAAAATTATAATTTCAATTTTTTTTTTGGGTTAATTTTTCAGGCGAAGCACTGTTGGTTAGGAAGTTGGATTTCAAGAATACTTAATCAGTTACTTGGTGTGGGTTTAATACTCTTCCACTGTGCGAGTCCTGACTTAATCGAAACTTATTTTGAGAGGTCGGGACAAGCTTCCAGGTTATAGTCTCTTACTCGGAACGAACAACATGACACCCTTGTAATCTCCTCATGAGATGCTATCTTGGACCTGCGAGAGGGTGAAAGGATTTTTCCGTAACAAAAAAATATATATATAAATGATTGATAAAATGAATATTTGAAATATGAGCGAATCGTATTTAATATTAAAAATATAGGGGTTCGATGTTTTGTGTGCAAATCCGTAATTTACCTACTGCTGCATGTTAAGTAGTTCTATTGTATAACACTACCTAAGGTGATCTTTGGATTCTCAACTTTTTAGTTAATCCCTAGAAGTTATTCTTACGTGGTGAGAGGCTAATTTTTGTAAAAATTGAGCCGAGTTAGGAGATGGTCATTACGGCTCACAATACGAAGGGCGGAGTAAAAAGGCCGTAAAATTACTCCAGCCCAAGAGAGGTACAAAATTACTCCGGCCCGAGACAAATGTAATGTTACTCCGGTCCGGAAGCGACTTGGAGTTAGGCTGGTCTCAGTGTTAGTCCGGCCATGATGTATTATGATTAGAGCGGTCAGAACCTTGCTACTCGGTAGCTCGGTCTAAACACACCATGGTTCGTACATGAGAGAACCGAGATAAGGAGTAGTGAAAGGAAGAACCGAACTAATGATAGTTCGGCCTACTCTATGGCTCAGCATAGCAATGATTACTTCGGTCTTGTTGGAGTTTGGCCATGGTAAAAACCATCTCACTTGGTTTAAGCAGTGAGGGGGTGTTGAAGGATAAGCATTATCTTTCAGGAGTATGAATCCTAGGAGGACTCTACATGGAGGATAAAAAATAAACATTTCAAAAATATTCATTTTTGCCATGTATTGGGTTGACAAATTTTTGATAATATTGGGTTTATTTTTTTTTTTTAGATGGGATGTGAAACAAATCTTAATTAAATGTGCTGATAAAAATAAATCATCTTAACATTACTTTATGCTTACACTTCTCCAAAGAATATATAAAACTTTTATTTCAAAACATCAATATAATTATTATGGATAGCATCATTAGCATCTTCCCTTATTATGCATATATTCGAAACTTCATTATAACTCCCAAACAAATCTTTTCACAATCTGCTTTAGTAATTGTGCGGAGAAATCTTACATCGGTCTGTGAGGGACTACTTTCCCACTTTATAAGCTGATTGCCTCCTCTATCTAGCATAAGGCCTTTTCCCCAGTAGGGGAGGAACAAAACCGTGAGCGGGTTTACGCCAAAGCGGACAATATTATGCTAAGCACGGGGCAGGGGCTTCATTTGGCGCCGTCTGTGGGAACTCCCTTCGGCATCTGGAGGTAATGCGCCGATGCCGGAGCCAGCGCGACTGGGGGCTAATGTGCGGGAAATCTCATATCGGTCTGTGAGGGACTACTTTCCCACCTTATAAACAGGCTGGCTCCTCTTACCTTGCATAGGCCTTTTCCCCCAATGGGGGAGGAACAAAACCGTGAAGCGGGTTTCGCCAAAGCGGACAATATGTGCAAGGCACGGGGAGTGGTTGTTTCATTTGGCACCGTCTGTAGGAACTCCCTTCGGCATCTGGAGGTATTGTGCCGGTACCGGAGCCAGCGCGGCTGGGGGCTAATGTGCGGGGAATCCCACATTGGTCTGTGAGGGACTACTTCCCCACTCTATAAGTAGGTTGGCTCCTCTTACCTTGCATAGGCCTTTTCCCCCAGTGGATGAGGAACAAAACCGTGAGGCGGGTTTCGCCAAAGCGGACAATATGTGCAAGGCACGGGGAGTGGTTGCTTCATTTAATGTGCAGGGAATCCCACATCGGTCTGTGAGGGACTACTTTCCCACCTTATAAGCAGGCTGGCTCCTCTTACCTTGCATAGGCCTTTTCCCCCAGTGGGGGAGGAACAAAACTGTGAGGCGGGTTTCGCCAAAGCGGACAATATGTGCAAGGCACGGGGAGTGGTTGCTTCATTTGGCGCCGTCTGTGGGAACTCCCTTCGGCATCTGGAGGTATTGCGCCGGTGCCGGAGCCAACGCGGCTGGGGGCTAATGTGCGGGGAATCCCACATCGGTCTGTGAGGGACTACTTTCCCACCTTATAAGCAGGCTGGCTCCTCTTACCTTGCATAGGCCTTTTCCCCCAGTGGAGGAGGAACAAAACCATGAGGCGGGTTTCGCCAAAGCGGACAATATGTGCAAGGCACGGGGAGCGATGGAGAGGGAGTTCCTGGGCTATAAAAGTAAAAACCTAGACCCTTATATAGCATCGAGGCCTTTTCCCGGGTGGTGAGATCCCTATTAGAACTCCCCAGTTAAGCGTACTTAGGCTGGAGTAGTTCTGGGATGGGTGACTCACTGGGAAGAACAAATTCGTGCGGGCATGGCCCAAAGCGGACAATATCGATGATATGTGAAGGGTTGGGGCGTTACAAATGGTATCAGAGCCGACTCTCCGAAAAACCGAGTGTGGGCCCCTGGCGTCTCTCGGTGTATGTGGACGAGCTTGTGAGCTGGCAGGCTACTGTACGGGGACGTACAGCCTTATGGGGGGTGGATTGTAAGGCCCCGGTGTCCCACATCGGGAATAGAGAGGGAGTTCCTAGGCTATAAAAGTAAAAACCTGGACCCTTATATAGCATCGAGGCCTTTTCCCGGGTGGTGAGATCCCTATTAGAACTCCCCAGTTAAGCTTGCTTAGGCTGGAGTAGTTCTGGGATGGGTGACCTACTGGGAAGAACAAATCCGTGCAGGCGTGGCCCAAAGCGGACAATATCGATGATATGTGAACTCCCCGTGCCTTGCACATATTGTCCACTTTGGCGAAACCCGCCTCACGGTTTTGTTCCTCCCTCACTGGGGGAAAAGGCCTATGCAAGGTAAAAGGAGCCAGCCTGCTTATAAGGTGAGAAAGTAGTCCCTCACAGACCGATGTGGGATTCCCCACACATTAGCCCCCAGCCGCGCTGGTTCCAGCACCGGCGCAATACCTCCAGACGCCGACGGGAGTTCCCACAGACGACGCCAAATGAAGCAACCACTCCCCGTGCCTTGCACATATTGTCTACTTTGGCGAAACCCGCCTCACGATTTTGTTCCTCCCCCACTGGGGGAAAAGGCCTATGCAAGGTAAGAAGAGTCAGCCTGCTTATAAGGTGGGAAAGTAGTCTCTCACAGACCGATGTGAGATTCCCCGCATAGTAATGTACAAGTAAAATTTTTCAATAACCTCCATAATAAATTATAAGTTTGTTTGTTTAACATTTTTGCTTTATATATATATATATATATATCTTTCACATCTATTTATCAAAGTGCATATATAAAATGTTATGCAGGTTACATATATATTTAGGTTGTATTTAGTTCATAAATTTGGATAGAAATTTGAAAAGAAAAAAAAAAAATTGAGGTAAAATATAAATGAAACATAATTACATTTCACACCCTTTTCACACTTTTAATTTCCTTTTTCAGGCCCTTACCTAAGTTCATTAACCAAATGCAACTCTACTGTTGCCTTCTATTTAACTTTTTATGAACCCTCTTTTTCGTAAAACTCATTTT